AGCCCAGGATCGCCCACCGTATCGCCGCGACGCCAGCTCCGCCCTTCCAAAGCTAAAGCTACTTTTATTGAGATTGGCTATAACAACAGAATGTGATTGTCCTATCCCACCCCTCCTCCTTATACTCCAGTGCGGTGTTTCTCTACCTTGGCAACTTTTAGATGTGTGGACTTTAACTCCACACATCTAAAAGTTGCCAAGTTGAAGTCCATACATCTTAAATTTGCTAAGGTTTAGAAACACTGTTCCAGTGAATTAGGGAGGGATCTGCCTGAGCCGCTTCTGAATGTTATCTTGTTATTCTGGGCTTAAAAAATGTTTCAGCCCCTCTGCCTAGGTAATAATTCCTGCATATCTCCATCAAGGTCATCTTCCTTGTTTTCTACACTGTGTGAGAGATAGGCTTTTACATTGCCCTTTCTTGTAATTAAAAAGTAAAGAAAGAAAAAATAGAAATAATTTCAATAATGCTACCTTAGTACCATGTAGTACATTGGTGTGTGACTAGAGGTTTCACCCTTCCTGCCTTTGTGAGGTAAACAAAAACAAACTTTATTTAAAAAAATAAGAGATAAATATAACCCCCTTCTTTAACTATTAACTTTAAAGTGGATACATTCAGTGTTGTAGAAAGAAATTACAGAGTTGCCTTGATCAGTATCAGCAACTAAACAGAAAATTTAGAAGACAACCCAAACAAATGCTCCAGGCAGGCCACAACAGAATCAATAGAAAGTTCTCTATAAAGAGATAGGAGTAAGATCAGCCTCTGCAGGGCCCAGTACATTCATCAAAATGACTAAATGAGTATTGTACTATGTGCTCTTCCTGTTTCATACGTATGTGTGATATCACAATACTTGTTTCATCATTTACACACACACACACACACTGCCTGGACAGGTTTAATCTATTTAATAAAAAATATAAAATAAAATATCTTCTTATATATTAACAGGGGTTTGATTCAAGGCTGATGTAAAGTTTAATTTTCCAAATGCATAGAAAAATAAGAACATTCAACTTGTCTTAGCAGTGCACAGAAGAAGAAACAGTCTACTGTATATCCTATCTACAGCATATCCCTCTTTCTACCGAAATATCCATTTTTCTTGAAGCAAAGACCCCTGCTTCCTTTTACCTAGACTTCCATTTTTCTTGGAAATTCCATGATGTTGGTCCCCTCTTTACCCTGCCTCTGTCCACAGCTGCTTCAGGTTCCTCCTCCAGTTCTGCCCTTGTCTTTTTTCACTGCCTGACATTTTCTAAACCCAGAATGTCAAGTCATTAACAACAGTTACAAGCAAGAACACTAGATTCTCAGAGTCTCATTAGTCAGATTGACTGCAAAGAAAAAAAGCGGTTAGGTTACAGAAATTTGGAAACCAGATAAATGAACCTTAACCCTCAGTTTATCAGTGAGTATATTTATTTTATTTATTTTCAAATTTGTATTAACATGGGCCTTCCTTGTTGCCTTTGATCTTCTTTCTAGCTCTCAAGAGATTTAGGAGACAGATTGTTACCCATTAGGAGGTATGAAAGGAGTACCCATCTGCAGTATTTTGGAAACATCCATTCCTGTTCTTCATA